GGCAAGAGGAGAAGGGGACGACCGAGGATGAGATGGCTGGACAGTGTCTGCGAAGCAACCAACATGAAATTGACAGACCTCTGGGAGGCAATGGAAGATAGGAGGGCCTGGTGTGCTCTGGTTCATGGGGTCATGAAGAGTGGGATTGAGTTAGATTTAAATCATGATTTAACTCAATCCCACACCCTGTGGTTAACCATGAAATGGACATGGCAAAGGGGGCATTGTAATCCAGGGAAATCCCGGAGGTGTCCCAGTGCTTGAGTATCCCCTGCTACATTACTTGCCAATCTGTTAAAACTACCACGCAGTGGTATAGCAGCACTCCATGTTCATAATAAAGCACACTACACTCTTAATACCAAATAGATGGAGATTGTAGCAAATATAAACTATATAATCCCGAAAACGGGATCGCTATGCGGATTCGTTGTTATACGGTGCGCTCATTAAGCGAGGCACCACTGTATTATATTTTGTGGGAAGCAAAAACAATGGCTAGCCTACAGGTTGCCCAATCACAGCATGTGCATGTCCATGGTCTTGCTTCTCAAAAAGCAGTGCAAAGGAATTTGTTTTTATCAAATATACCTGATATGGTGATTTCTTACCCTTCCTAGAAAATGTTATTTGGGAAACAAGGAAAACCTTAGCTTTGGTTATTGTGATGGAACCCTCACCTATTCTACCCAGCAACATCAAGAACAACACAACTGGCTAAAAGGAGAGTGAATTCAGCGAAGACAAGAGAGGTTTAAAAGAAGAGAGAAGAGTTTTAGTCAGTTAACAGTTAAGGGAAAGCTAAGAAGAAGTTAAGCATATATTTCAAGACAGGCAGCTATTATAGTTACTTTGTATCCTGTATAAGAAAACTTTTTCTAAAATGAGAAGTTGAAACTGTTAACACATGAAACCTCAAGCTGCTGAGAGTGCCTTGTAATCATTATGCTTACTAAGAATTTTTATTGTATGCTTATTTTATGTTTATGTTTATGCTTGGCTCTTATGATTTGGGATTAAGAATAGCCTAGAGGGGAAGACAAGGCATGTCAAGAAGTGACTAGCCAGGTAGGTCTGGTCACTGTTATTACAGTATTACACATTCTCTGCAAGGACTTCCACTGAAGATGGAACAAATACTACAACAGTAGAACACTGCATCCTACCACTTTGGCATGATGGGAAAATAGTATCACTCTAAACTGGCATTATTATTCTGTGCCAACTTTCTTTTAGTTCTAATTCAAAGAGCCCTTCCTAGACTGAAAAATAAATAATTTTAAAAGGGATACTTCCTACATTAAGGTCCTCCGCATGTTCATATCTGACATACCCTTACACAAAGGCATACTGTATATCGGAAACAAATTAATTGGACCTGTCTATTATTCTACAAAGACTGAAACATACTCCTTGAAATATACAATGGGTTTTAAAGAAATCTCCTGTTTCTAAAGCCTAAATATGTGTGTTAGGTCCAGATTTCCTTGGAGCACACTCAGTAAAATCAGTGGGACTCTCATCAATTCCACTGGGGTTCACACCAAGTACTGTATTATTATATTCGGATCCAGCCCACTGCATTGCAAAGCTCATGATTCAAACACTTTACAACGTGCAAGGGGAGAAGCTATCTAATTCTGTTGCACATAAGAAAAGCTGTGGTTAATATATGGTATTGGAACAACATCTAATTACAAAATGAAATATAATTAGGGTCACTCCTCCATGGTACACAATTAAATTTTGTAAAAGTCTGAAACATAACAGCAACAATGCTTATGTTGCTTGAAACAGGTGCCTCTGAAAACATATTACCATCACTTTTTGACATACTGTACAATAGAACAAGTGGCTCAGATCATGATCTGAACTTACAAATTACATATTCCCAATATACCTGGATGATTAAAACACTAATTACAGAGAAAATCTTGTAGCCTCTTTTTATCTGTAAATATTTTTTGTTTGCAATTCTAACTTTGGACATGTCTGGCATAACTTTGGTATCAGGGAAGGAATTATTAGTCCATCTTCAACTGGGAACGCACTGCAGTAAGGCTACCTCTGTTCCATTAGTTCAAAAATTAAACTGAGTTTGGGTTACTGTCTGTACAAAGTATACTATTTGCAGGTATCACTGTAGGAAAACCATCCTTTCTGAATAATCATTGTTATTACATGTCCTCAAATTACTTCTGACATGTGGCAACTCTATGAATAAGTGACTTCCAAAATGTCCTCTCCTCAAAAGCCCTGTCCAACTCCTGCAAATTTAAAGTTGTGGCTTCACTTATAGGGTCAATTCATCTCATATTTGGTCTTCCTCTTTTCCTACTGTCTTCCACCTTTCCCAGCAAATCTTGCCTTCTTGTGATGTTCCCAAAGTATGACAGTCTCAATTTCATTATTTTTGCCTACAGCTAATTCAGGCTTGATTTGATCTAAGATCCACCAGTTCATCTTTCTCACAGTCCAGGGTATACACAAAACTTTCCTTTAGCATCATATTTCAAATAAAACAATTTTTCCCTGACATCTTCCTTCCCTGTCAAACTTTCACACCCATGCATAGTAACAGGGAATACAATACTGTGGAGGATTTTGGCCTTGGGTTCCAGTGACACATCTTTATACCTGATTATTTTTTGTAATTCTTTCACTATTGCCCTTCGAAATATCGTTCTTATGATTTTTTGACTGCAGTTTCTATATGGATTGATGATTAAAGTATACAAAAATCCTTAACAATTTTGATATCTTCTTTCTCAACAT